CTGCCCGGCTTTTTTTTTTTTTTTTTTTTTTTTTGACAGCATTTCACTATGATAGCCCAGGCTGGTCTTGGATTCTGAACTCTCTTGTCTTCTTCAATGCTGGGTCCCAGGTAGGGGCCCTTATCCCTGGTCCAGTTTCTAAACTTAGATTGTTTCTTCACTTTGTACATATGAGATCATGTGATGATCTTTTCTTTGTTTCTGTTTTCTTTCTCTAAACAGTGTAGCTGTGAAGGTTATCTGCAATAAATACCATGCTAATCCTATGTTACTTTTTCTAGCTTTTTTACATGATGGAGAATAATACTCCTATAAACACTCTTGTAATTTTTTTAAATAAATATATACATTTCAGTTTGGTATCTGGAGATTCTTTCTAATCAGGGATCTCTATCTATCTATCTATCTATCTATCTATCTATCTATCTCTCTATCTATCTATGTTTCAGTTGTTATTTCCCTGTGGTCTTTTGAAGTGGTTCTTTCATCACCCAAGTATAAACACTCTTTGTCCCAGCACTTTGCTAAGTTAGCTACACGTACTCAGATCCCTGAACTCTGCCATCCTGAAGTGTCTCCCTTCTTCTCCGTCCTGGTCTCTGCATCCTGTCTATGAGCCTGACTGTCTCGACACCATACGGCCATGAGATTATGCAGTTGCCTTGTGTCTGGTTCATTTCCCTGGACCTTGTGTTTTCAAGGTTCATCCCCATTGTCACAGTCCCTTCTTCTCTAAGGCTGAAGAGCATTCCGTCATAGATGTGTCGTCTGAACTGACGCCTGAGAGCGGAGGGCAGATGCTCCTGTTCTCAGGATGTGTATGCATATGCTCACTGTGTAGGCCAGATTGACCCCAAATTTACAGTTCCCCTGTCTGCCCCTCAGAGGGGTTAGCCACATGCTTTTCAGTTCTCTTGGGGGAAAATCACCAGAAGTTGGGTGACTGGATCAAATGGAGGTCCTCATTTCAATTTTGAGGAACGCTACACCACTCCCTAGAGTAGTTACCTGGGTTTCCATTCCTTTCTGCATGCTAACTGATACAGAGATGCCCGTTTCCTGCTCTTCTGATAACACCCCGCAAATGAGGAGGAGGTGTATTTCTGTTCTCCGTGTAGAGGTGCTGAGCATTTTAACACAGCCTGCTGGACATTCGCCGATTTCATTGGGATAAATATATATTCAAGTATTTTATCTATTTTAAAATCAGGTCTTTCTGCTATTAGTCTTCATATTTTACATAGTCTTACATATTTTAGTGCTTAGCTTGGCCCGTGTTAGTATGTGGTAAGGTATTTTTCCCATTCTGCAGGTTGTCTTGTGTGTACCCAGAAGCTTTTGTCTTGCTTTTGTAGAGCTCTGCTTCTATCTTTGCCTTTTTTGTTTTTTTTTTTTCCAGGAGTCATTGCTGAGACCAATATTTAGAAATTTTCCCTGGTTGTTTTCTGGGCTTGCTACAATGTATTCTTATGTGATATGTGTGTTTGTGAGTGTGCACATGTGAGTGCATGCATGTGGAGATGTCTTGTGAATCAGATCCTCTCATTAGCCTGGTGTTTGTCAGCTAATCCGAGGGGTCTGCCTGCCCCAGCCTCACTAGTGCTGGGGGATTTAGAACCTGCCTCTCTGCATTGACTCTGGGAATTGAACTCAGGTCCTCATGCTGACTTTATTGATGATTACACCTCCATGAGTACTTGGAGGGGTTTTTCATTTCTGTTCACCAATGATATTGGCCAGTAGTGGTTTTTTTTTTTTTTTTTTTTTACTTTGGTATCAGAGCGATGTTGGCTACACAAGTTTCTTAGACTATTTTGCTGTTTTGCTGTTCTCCCTGTACAGTTAGGGGATCAGATGCTTCAGGACAGGGGTCTTGGAGGAGACTTTGAGATAAACATGCTTGAGTTACCACTGGGGAGGGAGCTACACAACTGGGGTGGGTCACCCTGCTTCGGGAGCCAACTTCTTAGGGAGCTCAGGATGACAGTTTACCAATATATGTTTCAAACACAGAGCACAAGGAGATTTTTCTGGATGTTGTATAACTGATCTGTGAAGACTGGAGTTGGTATTAATTTCCCTGAGCGTGTGTTTTCTCATTCTTCTGGGTCTGAGCTCGAGGGGCTGGAAAGCAGATTTGGGTAGAGTCAGTTTACCTTGTCTTTGGGTATGTCAAAAACGCAGATGGTGAGGCTTCTTGTGAGGCCCTCTCTCTTGATCCCATCCTAACCCATGCCTCCCACCTCTAGTGCTTTTAGGACAAGACTCAGTCCTGCCAGCTGCAGGGCTGGCAGGAGCTCAGCTGGTCCCACGGCTGCATCCTTCTGTCTAGGCCAACCTTGGTTCTCACAGAGTTTCAACCCACACCAGGACTCCTGGAGAAGCCAGTGACTCCTAGACTAGTGTTTCTTGCAGAGACGTCCCTGTCTGTCAGTTTAGTTGCTCTCTTATTTGCTGCTGGAGCTCTTTGGTTTTTCTCTTTCCTAGTTTCCTAGTTCCATAGCAGGAGAATGGCCTACTTTTATTTATGTATTGTGTATGTGTCAGGGAGCGGTGGTTTCACACACGGCACGGCATGCCTGTGCCACTATATACACGTGGAGGTCAGAATTCACAGAACTCTACCACGTCAGTTCTGTCTGGGACTAAATTCAGGTCATCCATACCAGAACCAGAGCAGGACACTGACTTCCCCGTCTTCTGCTCCACTCCGGATCTTACCTAGATAGATCCTGGCCATTTTATGCCTTTGCCATTTCACGAATGAGCGCTGGGAGCCCGAATAGGGGTTACTGGGCCATTGTCACACTTATCTCCCCATGCCAAGCCACACACGGTGCAGGATGCCTGAGACCTAAGCTCCAGTACCTCCTAGGACTGGAGTCTGACAAATCTAGAGATTTGTTGTGTAGCCGCTATAGTGCCTGGCACACAGCAGGCACTCAGTGTTTGGGTGAGTGGGTGGGGCGGAGCACAGGGCCACTTACCAACTCTTGGAGCGGAGGGGCAGAAGCAGTGGATTCAGAGAGTCCTAGTTCTGAACAGGGTCTGGTCATATCACAGGAACGTTTGGCCTGAACATTTGGAAGAGGCTGCAGGGGGCCACGATGGTCGATGGTCAGGAGCAGGCAGCAACTTCAGAGGAAAAGCCCGACTTTGCTGGCACCACCCTCAAGAAATCCTTCTTGGAGCTGCAGTGCGTTCCTATGGCCACCTGGGGCTCCCTGGCTCCTAGAAGTCTCTCACTGGGGTGGGGCGAGAAGCTTAGGATTTGCAGTCAACCTGGGGTCCCATTTAACCATCTCAGAGGCAAGACCCAGCAGCCAGGAAGAGCCCTGCTCCTAAGTTAGATTGAGATCTGCAGGGTGGCAGTGGCACCTGTAGAGGTCATTACTATTGGCAGAGGACTGCCCATGCCAATGCCCAAGGTGACGGTCCAGAGCAGACAGCTGTGTGATTCATGGGAGAAGGAGAGGCTTGTTCCTCCAGTTGTTGCTTTTCCTCTGGGTTCCCTCCCACCCACCCACATCACCCACGCCATCCTTATTCCTTAAATTTCAAATGATTTCAGTTCCTTCATTTTTTTTTTTATTATTATTGCTGGGCTGGGCATGGTGGCCCAGCAGTCAGGAGGCAGAGGCATGTGAGTTCAAGGCCAGCCTGGTTTACAAAGTGAGTTCCAGGACAGCCAGGGCTACTTAGAGAGACCCTGTTAAAAAGAAAGAAAGAAAGAAAGAGAGAAAAGAAAAAGAAAAAGAAAATCTGTTTTTCTTTGCTCTTTATTGATGGCTGGAAATAAGACTCAGTGCCTCTAGTGACAAGGCCTTGGGTTTTACCCAGTACCACCACACCTGGTCTAACCTAGAGAAATTACAGTCTACATGGGGAGATGCATGTGAAAACTCATGACTGAGGTTCATCTGACAGTTGTTGGGAATAGCAAGAAGAGAGGTTATTGAGAGGTCAGCCCCCCTCTCCCACCAGATTAAATGAGGAAGGTTTCATAGTAGAGACTGTGGAGTTGATTTTGATGTAATTTTCAGCTACCTATGGAATCTTTATGGCCTCTGTTGTCCCATCAAGGCATACTCTTCTTTCGATGGACAGTCTTGTGGGGGTTTATAAAACAAGGCAAGGCAAGAGCTTCCCTGGGGTGGGGATGTTTGCATATCCTGCCAGGGAGGTCTAGTTGAGGCCTGAAAGGAAGAAAACACAGCAGATCTTGGGCTAGTGTATCTGGGCCTTGCTCATGCTAGACAGTACTTGCTCAGTGCTGGGCTCTGGCAGGAGACAGGAAAGGGTTGGAGAGGGGCAGTCCCAGAAAGGGGAGGCCACCTGGCATCAGGGTGTATGTGGGGGGCTGTTAGGGAAATAGGAGGCCCGTGTTTTGAAGGAAGCCTCTCACAGCAAGGAACTGGCCCAAGCCCTGGTGTACCAGCGGCGTGAGCAGGCGGCACTGATGGCCTTCCTGCATGGGAAAGCAGAGAAGGAAGCTGAGGCCCGGGCCCGGCTGCACCAGATGTCCAGCATAGCCCCATGGACCAAAGAGCATTCTTTGGAAGACATCGAGGAGAGCTGGAATCAATGGGCTAAGGACAAGCAGGTGGGGACAGTTGGGGGAGGGGAGGGAACTCAGCTTCTGGCTACTGTTCTCACCTGTGACTCTTGCAGGCGAGCAAAATCGTGGGAGCAGCTTACAAGCACAAGGAGCGTGTTTGGAGCCCCAAACTCCTGGCCACCAGAGTGCAGTATAGCTGGATGAGGCAGCAGGTGAGGGAACGAGACTGCATCTGAGATGCTGGGCCATCTGAGGTCAGCAGACCCTATCCGGTCCATGCTCTCTGTCTATGGCATAAACTGGCCAGGCTGGCATGTTTTCAGTCGGCAGAAATCTTGTCTCTGGGAACACAGGCCACTGGGCTTATGGAGGGCGGGGTCTCCTCTGGCCTTTCCTGTCTCTAGCCCCCAGAGCACCGTTATATTCTCTGGCTATTCTTTAGCATATTAACTGCCCCTGTAGCCATGAGTGTAGGTAATCAAAAGGAGATGAGGGGTGTGTGTGGGTACTGGGTGCACAGGTGGGGACACACGAAGGTATGGCTGTCCTTCAGTGTGGAAAGGGGAATCAGAGACTTATAAAAGCCAGTCTGACTCCAAGCCAGTATACCTTGATGGGACAACAGGAGCCATAAAGATTCCATGGGTACCTTGAAATTACACCAGAATCAACTCCATAATCTCCTTTCCCCATTTAATCCAGTCAGGTGACTGACCTCTAAAAGCCTGCCTGACTCTCTCTCCCATGATGCCCAAGGCTACAACTCTACTGGGGAGGTTGGTGTGAGAGGGTTCTGGAGGCTCCTCAGAGCCCAGCTCGGGGAATGCTAATGGGAGAGCTGAGGTATATCCAGGACTCTTTGTATCAGGCCCCACTTGGGGTCTAACTCATGGCCTTGCTTCAAAGGAGAAGAGTCCCGGTGCCAGGCTCAGATCACAGACAAGTGTAGGAAGGAGAGAGTGGGAAGGTGGGCCTGCTCAGGCTGTGTGGGTCCCATAGCTGTGTCCTGGAGATTTACATGGCACGGGAAGACCTGAGGGCTCTCCCTTGATGCAAGCTTGTTCTCGGTCCCTGGTACCACCAGCTCCAACAGACACTCACCTCCTGTTCTGTTCCCAGATTTCCCCTCAGATCTACCAAAGCCTGTGTTTCACTGACCTTAAGCCAATCCAACAACCTGACTTCCTGATGCATAAGGTGCTGGACCAGCAGGGCCGGCACATCCGCTGGGTGGCTAGCGATATCCGGAGCGAGCTGGATTTTATCCGGGGCCAGATCTTCATGGAATTGGCAGCCAGCAGCACACCTGCTGCGACCCCTTCCTCCCTCTCCATGCTTTCCCTGGGAGCTTCAGCTTCCAGGGTTCTGGACTCCAACTTGTCTACCTCCGTGAGACACCGTTCCTCAGTCTCCTTGCTGAGGCCCTGGTCAGCCTCTCCAGGACAGTCTAGCTCGTCCACATCACCCCAGACCTTGAGTCTGTTCCGTAAAGGCCAGAAACTGCCATGCCAGGGTCTCCCTGCCTCGTGCAGCATCCGAAGCCCGGGGGAGCCACCCTCATGTTTTCTGTGAAGTGGGTCTCCCACCTCATCTTTTGAGGTGTCCATTCTTCTCTCTATTCTGTAGCAGGGGATCCGCATGTTTCTGGCTCACTCCCTGCCAGACCCAGGGGATGCAGCCTTTTCTCCAGGGGCCCCACACTGCCTCTCTCTGGATAAGTCCAGCTATCTTCTGGCTCTGTACAATTCTAGAGAACAAAATAAATATTCTTCTGTGTCCTACAGGTGACAAGGCTGGGCTATGCTTCTCACCTGTTTGGGTCCCTGATCTGCTGAGACAAGCCATAATGCCTGGCAAGGCCTTGGGCAGACACAGAGGGAGCTGTACCTCATGATCCCTGGGTGTTTGGCTGCCATGCAGCAGGCCCACCCCACCGGGGCTTTGTGTGGTATGGCAGGTATATCATATGGTAGGGATGCTGGATGGCTCAGCAGCCGGGTTCAGCCTCATAGGAGCTATTCTATGTTGACAGTGTCCCTTGTCTCTGCTTCCTGTCCTCCTTGGCTACCAGGCACTTCAGCCCCAGGCATAGTATTTGGAAGCTGTTCTGTGTCTTGTGTTAAGGATATCTGAGCATGTATCAAATGGCTCCTCCTCTGGACTTGGAGCACCCTTCTTGTCCTGACCGCTGCCTGGCCCCTGGCCCTCTCAGAATGTCAAGTCCGGGGCATGTTTAGACATCTGCTCACAGAAGATTCTATTTAGAGGCCATGAAGCATGAGGTTTCACTGTCTTGAACAGGGGGCCTTTTCAGGAGCCTGCCTTGTGGCTCTGGGCAGAGCAGAGTCCTCAGGCCCATCCTTGCCATGGATGTGGCACCAAGTCACCTCCCAATAGCCCCAAGCATCAGGGCTAGCAAGTTCCTCACAGAGAACCTCTTTATGTTCTCTTAAATTTTTGTGTTTGTGTGGTACGTGTGTGTGTTCTCAGGTGTGTAGTCATACACACGTCTGCAGTTGCCTTTTTATGTGTGCATGAACTTGTGCAAGGTCCAAGGTTGCTATGCGATGTTTTTTCTCTTCTATATTGAAGCAAGGTTGCTAACTGAATCCAGAGCTCACTGATACGTGGGTCCTCATGCTTGCATGGCAAGTGCTTTACCCACTGAGCCGTCTCCCGGCCCCTCACATGTCTATGTGTGGGATGTGCCGAGTCCTGGGTCAGGTGTTGTGGGAGCAGAGTGCTGAGGAGTTTGAGACCCACTTCTGGCTAGTGTGCCAGGAGGTCCTGGGGCCTCCTGAGCAGACTGGGGGTAGCAGCCCTCCAAGGCACACCGGCTTCAAGTTTATACTGTAGGTCATTCCTAACAAAGATAAATCTACAGTAAGAGAGCCTTAAAATGAGGCCCAGGGCCTTGGTGGCTCATGTCTCTCTCAACAGAGATGAACCCTTGGGGTAACCTAACACAGACAGTGACTAAACTGAGCTCCCTGCTGAGGTGATTCTCCATGGGACAAGTGGACATTTAAAACCAATGATTACAGCCTACCCCTTGTCAGCTTGACACAGAAACACATCGCTTTAAAAACCACAACCTTTCATGCCTTGTCCCAAAGTCTCATATTTATTTTATAGTTATAATATATAGTCTAGCCTTTTAAAAACTGCTTATTTTATGTAGCTGGGTGTTGTGCGTGCATGTGCTCTTCTGTGTACCATGTGTGTGCAGCATCTACAGAGGTCAGATACCCCAGGACTGGAGTTACAGACTGTTGTGAACCACCAACCATGTGGGTGCTGGGAATCAGACCTAGGTCCTCGGGAAGAGCGGTCAGTGCTCCTAACTGCAAAGGCATCTCTCCAGCCCAAATATCGTTTGAAAAGTCCCCCAAATCTTTTTAAAATCCCTGTACTTTAAAAGTTCCAAATCTCTTGACTATAAGCTCCTGTGAATATTATAAACAAATTACATTCTTCCGACATATAATGTTACCAAGCAAATATTCTTTATTACAGAAGAGAAAATGAAGGTCATAGCAAATGAACAAACACACCAAAGGAAAAGTAAAATCTAGTAGGGAAAAGATCAAAGTTTGTAGCTCCAATGACCAACATCTGGTGCTTGAACTATAATGTTCTAACTCCCTCGAGCAATGCTTTATCCTTTAACATCCCATAACTTAAATATTATTATATATTTTTACAACATAAGCACTCATGCCTCGATCAACATCTCATGGTAAAGAGATAGAAGAAAACATAACCATCTACTTAATATATGTGTAAGCACATTCTCAACTAATAAGACAAAAACATTCATGCCAATGACAATCACTTCTGTAACTGGTCATGTGACCTTAGCTGGTATTTATGACTTCATCTTCTACTGCCTATTCTGTATTTCCTCCACTCCCAGTAAGCACCTTAGTCGGTCTTGGTTCTTTACCTGGAGAAAGTACTCCTATCTTCATTCCTCAGGGGTCTAAGCCAGTGGGTCTCAACTTGTGGGTCGCGACCCTTTGCAGGGAAGTTGAATGACTCTTTCACTTAAGGCCACAGGAAAACCACAGATATGTACATTTCATAACAGTAGCAAAATGATAGTTTTGAAGTAGTAACAAAAAAATGGTTGGGGGTCAGCACAACATGAGGAGCTGTACTAAAGGTCTGCAGCATCAGGGAGGTTGAGAACCACTGCTCTAGGACATGTGTCATCCTTCCTGGGCTGTGCTGTTGTAGTTTTCACCGACCTTAATCATATTTCTTCCATCTAAGACATACTCTTCCTTCCACTGTGGAGAAGAAGTTCTTGATCAACCACATCTCCTACCACATTGACTTGAGGGTGTTATGAGCCAGAGTGTCCAGGGGGAAGGCTTAGCTTCCACTTCAAAGGGATGTTTACTGTGCCTCCTGGTGGAAGCCTATGTAATAGTCAACAACATCTGTCTCACACCTGGAAGGCCAGGAGCCTAGTAGATGTTCAGCACATGAAGTTAAGCATCTCAGCAGTCCAGTTCTGTTACCAAAGTTCTTAAGTGTTCCTGAAGAGCTACTGGTCCTTAGTCCATATTGGAAGTTGACCAGAAATATCAGCAAAGATGTCAGCAGTGGCAGGAATGGGGTGAATTAACTCTTTGGGCAAGAGGGAAGGCCAAGTGAGTAAACAGTGAATGCCCTTCCTTTTCCCTTTGTGATGAATGAGAATGGCCTCCATAGGCCCACCCTTTGAATGCTTGGCCCTAGTTAGTAGCACTGTTTAGGAAGGATTAGGAGGCCTTGTTGGATAAAGCATGTCATGGGGTGGGTTTAGAGGTTTCAAAAGCCCAGGCCAGGCTCTCTGCCTGATGCTTGCAGATCTCAGCTACTGCTCCAATGTCACACCTTTCTGCTTCTCACAACAGTGGTCATAGATTAAACCTCTGAAACTGTAAGTAAGCTCCCAATTAAATGCTTTCTTTTATAAGGGTTGCTTATAGAGAGTTCCAGGACAGCTAGGGTCACATTACAGAGAAACCCTGTCTGGACAAATAATCTTCAAAATGTTATGTGTATGGATGTTTTGCCTATATGTCTGTAGTGCCTGCAGAGGCCAGAAGAGGGCAATGGATCCTCTGGAACTGGAGTTACAGACAGTTGTTAGCTGCCATGTGGGTGCTGGGAATCAAACCCCAGTCCTCTGGAGGAGTAGACAGTGCTTTTAACCACTGAACCATCTCTGAAGCCCCCTCCTGAGCCTTAAACAAAACAATACAAGAACATATAGCTCCCAAACAGTCCATGTCTTTGTCTTGTCTGACTGGGTAGGGGTGGTTGTGGGAGGGGTGAGGGGATGGACGGATGGATATCCAGCAGCTGTGGGCTGTTGCGATGACATTCTAACAGATAACAAGCAGCATGGAAGGGCACATGACTTCTGGGAGCAGTTGCACTCAGGACAGAACTTTGATGCCAAGGTTGATGCTAGCTCTGTGATCAGCAGGCCAAGACTTTTGCAGTTCTTCCTCATGGCCAAAAGAGGGCGCTATATCTTTTCTGGAAGAATTACGGTAAGTCAGAACAGAGATGAGACAGAGATCACACAGAGTTGCCTGCCATAGCTTTCTGGTGTCTACTGATGGCTTTGTGCCTCTTTGCATGGCTAAATCATTGTGACCTCTCCTACCTTAAAATGCCCTCTGACAGGCAAGATGGCAACTACATTTTTTTATGGTGCTGGGAAACAAACCCAAGCTGACTGGGAGTTGATGTGTTGGGCACAAGGCACAGTGGGACACTGCAGCTGTACGTGAGAGTAGGGCACTCCTGGAGTTCCCTTAGCCTCATTCGTGGTTCAGAGAGGTAAGCTTGAGGTCACCCTGGAGGAGTGGGTCAGGTCTACTGGTCTCTAGTGCCCTCTGGTGGCTGTTCTGCTCTGTAGGGCAATTTCCTGCTACCCCTCTGAGAATGTTTCCCCCTCATGGATTCCAAGGTAGATGAGGGCTCAGTCACTGATCAGTTTTTTGATTTAGGAAACAAGCTCAGAGGACACCTGTGATTAATCCCACAGCTCACTCTGGATTCAGATGTAAGGGATGCTGAGGTCCACAGCTCACTCTGGATTCAGACGTCAGGGATGCTGAGACCCACAGCTCACTCTGGATTCAGACGTCAGGGATGCTGAGGTCCACAGCTCACTCTGGACTCAGATGTTGGGGATGGTGAGGTCCACAGCTCACTCTAGATTCAGACGTCAGGGATGCTGAGATCCACAGCTCACTCTGGATTCAGATGTCATGATGCTGAGGTCCACAGCTCACTCTGGATTCAGATGTTGGGGATGCTAAGAGGTCAAACATGCCCTTAGCAGTAACCCACTGCAGTATACTCAACTTTGCTGAGCAGTCGTATTGCATGAAAAAGAGGCTCAAGGAGGCCTCCATAGCTTCTATAAGTGAAAAAAATCTGGCCTTGAAATTTATTTTAATAGTCTCTATTTTGTCATTTTTACATTTTCTTAATGAGACAGACTCTATGTAATTGTGGTAGTTTGAATGAAGCTTCCAGGCAAATACCAGCTTGATTTCTGTGTT